GTTATGAGTCAGTCCCAACTTCCCAGCCTCTGAACAGGTGCTCGAGCGCCAGTTATGAGTCAGTCCCAACTAGATGGCAATGAGATGAGATGAGATGAGATGATGAGACAAGGTAGCAGAGACAATAAATAATCATCTGATGCCACATCAAACAGACATTATAGAACTTTCTCCTCTCATGGTTGGTCTGCCCTCTGCCAGGACAGTTTAAAAGCAGCCCTAGTTCTGGAGCTCATCCTGGAGGCCAGTTCATGCAGCAAGAAATCTCTCCATTATACTCATTGCTGTCAGTCATAGTTTTGGATTACAGGATAGGGAGGAGGCCAACAGCCATCTGCCCACTTACCCATTTACCCATTTATCTAACCAATCAACCACCCATCCACTCACCTACTTTTTCCTCCATCCATCCACCCAACAATCAACCATCCATCCATCTATCCATCCATCCATCCATCCATCCATCCATCCATTCACTCACTATGCCATCATTGGAGACTTGAAGATGGAGCAGACATGACTATGACCTTGGGAAGCTTATATAAAGATATGACGTTGGGAATTTGTAAGACCACGACTTCTTCCAGGAGGCTATTCCTGATGGATGGAGACCCTCATCACTGTTCTGTAGGTAAGGGTCCAGTGAACTGTTCCTCCTCATCATAGAAAGCTCCAATTTTGTAATCACATATTTCTTTATCCATAAATTAACTCTGTAAGATCAGGAATCAGGTTTGTCTTATGTATTGCTGTTTCCCCAGAAACAGTTGTTATTATTATTATTACTATTATTATTCAATAAACATTTGCTGAATAAGCTAAGAAACATGCAACTGGTACTTATAAAATACAGGGAAATTTCCCATTATGCTATTTTAAGAACTAAGTATATATGATCAAAGTGACCATAGCAAGTTGAAAGTTTACAAGGAACCTTATACAGGGCAGTGAATTTTTGCCAGTGGAAGAGAAAGAACTCAAAAAAGGCAGGTGATAATGATGGCATCCACAACTTGCCTGTCAGTTTACTAGACTGCAGTGGCTGGTGGGGGCTGTGATGCTGGAAGCTATGCCACACACTAGGATTCCATGAAAACCAACTATCACAGTGGCAACTGCTCAGATGTGACCTTGGAGGAGACTGGCCTGGGCCAGGAGTCACCAGGGTGGCTTCTTCACGCAAATAAGTCCCATTGTATTGAGATTCCTCATCTCTAGAGCAAAAAACGTGAGGCAAAGGGAGGAGGGAAAGTAAAGGAGATGCTTTCTACGGTACCTCTTACATCTGAGCTTTAAGGTTAAATAACTGGCTAACATGAAATCTGAGTACAGGAAACACAAGTCATGAAAATTTTAAGAGGTATTTATTAAATATTTGTACTTATGCATTCATTCATCCAATAACATAATACTAGGTGCCAGGCACTGTTCTAATGGTGAACCAGGCAAGACACAGTCACCGTCATCCTGGAATGGCCAGCCCAGTGCTGGAGACAAAACTAATAGGTAAATAAGTAAAAGATGAGCATTAAATCAACAGTGTCTCAGAGGGGAGTACAGTTCACTTTAGAGGTGGTCCGAGAGGGTTTTTCTGTGGTGGTGTTAATTCTGCTGAATTTGAAGATTTCTAGGAAGAGCATTTCTGGAAAAAGAAAGAGCAAATGCAAAGGGTTCTCAGACAAGCAAGAAGCTTGGAATATTCAAAGAACAAAAAAAGCAAGCAATGCAACTTGCGTAAGGAGGGAGTGACCTAAAGGAGAGGCAGGGGTCAGGTGTGCAGAGCAGGCGGCTGTTTTTGGTTGTTGGTATTTTTTTATTATAAATTTTTTTGTATTAATTTTAATGCACATTTACAGAGATTATGAATTTCCCCTCATTCACTGTTGCATTTTTCTCCCTGCCCCGCTCCTCCCCCTAAGTTCGTTCTTCTCTTTGAAAAGTAAAATTCCTTCATTGGTATACAATGCCCAGCCCCCACGGCCCAGAGTACGTTCCGCTACGCAACCTTCATTCTGGACTCTCGCCATAATGATAATGCCCAATCCTATATCACTATTAAACTGTTCTCTCCGTCATCTGTTTCAACGCAGCATACCTCATTTATCCAGGCAGCTGTTTTTAACCTGGGGTCTGTGGACTGTCAAAATGTGGACAGAGAAAAATAGCTTTCTCCTTTGCCAACCTCCAGCTGAATGTTAATCACCTTCAAACTAAAGGAAATCCTCGCAGTGTCACTCGCCGTGCCTGAGACTTGCCAGCAGCAGCCACCACAGAGCTCGTCATGTCACATTACAGTTGCTAAAGATAACTGGAAATATCTCTTCCTCTCATCACACATTCAAAACTACAGGCGTCATGATGCCACCAGCTGCTAGACCTTATTACTCAACCAAGAAGAGAAAAAGTCCAACAGAAAGTGAACCTCATTGCGACGGAGTGTGAACTCGCTTATAGCTGATTCTCCAGCTGCAATCGCATTGTTTCTCAAAGGCTCCAAATCGCACGGGAGGAGACCATCCATCTTTCTCCCAAGGAGCAACTGATGGATTTGAACACCAGCTGTTGCAACCCCAGAAAGATGCCACAAATTTTTTTTTTTGGCCCAACCACCCCACCGCTCTTGAGTGGATCGTGATGCACGGGGACTGTACAAGACGGGGCAGAACTGCTCCCCATGGTCCCCGAGACTGTCAATTTTCCAAGCTGTGCACGGCCTGCTGTGCACTGGGGTGTCTTTCTCCTGCAGAGCAGCTGGGGTGTTTGAATTGCTGTCCTTTGGTCCACGGTTGAGCTCTTTAATCTCTGCACCACCAGGGTTCCTGTCCCACAGGTACACATGATTTTGTACCATGAATTCTTTAAATGTTTAATGTCAGTGTTCAAAATAGAGCTCCCTCTTTTAATCCTGGGTCTCATTCCATGCACGGAAAAGCGATATTCTGGGAAGGCTGCCCCTCGTGCCCAGCTGCTTCGGAACCAGGGTCAGGAGTCTGCATTCTATTCCCAGTGGTTGTTGAACTCATGAGACAGTGTAGTTTAGTGAGGCATGACCCAGTGTCCCTTTTCCAAAGTGGCCCTGGCTGATGGGTGGAGAGTGGACAGTCTGTGCCTGGTGCAGTGCTGAAGGCCAGCGGTGTCTGGGGCTTTACCTGGACACCATTCTGGATAATCCAGAGAGGCAGCACATCCCTCGGGGGTTCGCCTGGGATCTACCCTCTGCTCTGATCAATAATTGTCCCCTCATCTTCTCCGTTGCCCTCTGAGCCCTGTCACCTCGGCAGAGTCTACACGGACATCCTCCCCAAAGAGCTTCAGAAAGTGAGCTCATGGTGTCCGCAAGAAAAACAAACATGGTGTTTGCTGCTATTTGGGTTTGTGTTGGTCCAGCAAGAAGTGAGGTTTTTGTTTGAGGGCACCATCCAGGAGGACTTGGCAGAGGCCGGACCACACGGTAGAGGCCGAGAGCCAACAGGGGCTGGGGTCACGGAGCTCCACGCTGGGCTCAGCCAGTTTGGTGCAGGTGGGCCTCCTCTCCTCACACCACGATCACAGTTACAGAACATCGGTGACCTCTCACCCTCCAGCCCACAAGGTCCTCACGCCCTAGCAGGGATCCAGCTGAGGAACTAGGAACGGGGCTGGGCAGGAGGACAGGACCAATTAAGAAAACTCAGCACCAAAGTGTGTGTGTGGGGGGGGTCCCAGGTATCCCAGAAGGGCAATGTGTGTGGTGCTTCTGGGGCAATCCCCAGATTCCCCACAGGGAGCACAGGAGTCAGGGGGTGGAGAGCACTGACTGGCGAGAAGGGGGCACTTGACAGGGTGAGCTGACCTTCAAGTACTAGCATCTTTGACGAGGAAGTGAGAACAAGCGTAGCGTCTGCGCAGTGAAGGCCTGGAAATGCGGCCATTTCTCAGAGCCCTCCTTCTTAATCCTCCCACATCTCCCTCCCACCCTCCTGTTCACCAAAGTGCAAGAACTGCCAGTGCTTAGTACCCCAGAGTTCATCACTCTCGAGGCTCTGTCCCCCAATACTCTGTATTCCTAAAGCTTAGTACTCACGACCCTCAGGAGTTTCTGCGTTTAAAGCTTCTAATGCTCTCTACTCAGTGTGCGTTACACCCCACACTTGGTACACCCAGTGCTCAATACTCTTAGTGCTCAGTGATCTCAGAGTTTAGTTCCCCCAATACTCAGGACCCCTATGTTCACTACTCCCGATAATCAACATTCCAGTGCTCAGTATCCCCAGTGCTTATTACTCTCAACACTCTCCTCCCAGCTTTGGTACCCTCAGTGCTTGGGACTCTTGAGGCTCAGAAAGAAGAGCCAGGAGTGGAGTGAATCTTCCGGACCTGGGGTCCCTGAGCTGAGAACCTTCCAAACACAGGGAATGCCTGACAACAAGGATCCTCCCTCAAGCTAACAGAGCGTTTCTCCTGGAGCTGGCACTCTGAATTTGGACTTCAAACCTCCTAAACTGTGAGAACAAATTTGTTTCTATTACAGCAGCACTAGAGAACTAAGACGGGCTCCCAGAAGGAAACACAGAACACTTAGGAGGGCCTCGCCACCTCCCCACAGCCTGGGGGACTTGAGACAACTCACAGAGCCTCTCTACCTCCTTCCCCGTCTGAAAGGTGGAGGTAATAACAGCACCTGCCTCACAGTTAGTGTGAAGAAGTCACTGTACCTGGCACACACCCTGACTACTGGTCTCATGTCAATGAGACGTCAAGGAGTGCCCATCTGAAACGCCTTGATCATATTAACTGATCCATGTACTGATGGTTAGACAGTACCCAGGCTCCCTGCTCGGCACTGAGCCCCACGGGGCAAGGGACTCACCTATAGTCCTTCGGAGATCTTCACACTGGCTGATGTGAGGGAATTTCAGGATTTCCTTCCACTTCTTGCTTTTCCCTTTGCGCTTTCCTCCGCCCCCTGCAGAGACAGAGGGAGACACGTTGGTGTTGTTCAAGATCATAGGGTCTATGTCCTACTCAATGCAGTGAGCCTGCCCACCAGGCTGGACAGATGGGCACTCTCCAGTTGACCCAGTAAGCGAGCGAGGCATGTGCTTATTTGTACTTGATCACTAACCTGTAGTCAACAATTTCACATTTTCTTTTTTCACCACATCAAAGATTATGTTTCTGGACCCGGCTAGGATCTGTCTCTTTCCCAATCACATATCATCTTCCTACAGAAGTAAGGTCCCTTTTCAAACTTCCAGTCCCTAGTAGGGATGAAGTACCCAGTAAGCAAAGTAAGCACAGGTTTGCTTACTAATGTGTAATGAACAGTTTCCTATCTTTGATGTGGTAAAACCTACGTGAAATTGTCGGATATAGATTAATAAGCATGTGTAAGAAAACTTGTGTTTACTTTGCTCATTGAGTAATCCACCCTGCCATTAGGATGGTCTCTCTCTCTCTCTCTCTCAGACACACACACACACACACACACACACACACACACACACACACGCGATTGAGGCTCAGCTATATGCCAAGAAACAAGCTACACCATCAACAAGGAAGACACAGACATGGACAGGACCCTAACTGAGAAACCAGATCTAGAGGGGGGAAAACCCATTTCTTTTCTTCCAAGCCACCCCATGGGCTTTCCGTTACAGCAGCACTCCAGAACAACGGCATTTCCTTAGGCCTCAGGAAACCTCCCGGAAAAATCAACAAGAAGATAGACTGTGGACCTCTCACCACTTCTCTCATTTTATACTCTCATGTCTTGACAGTTTCTTCAACTGAAGGCCAGACGCCAGGGTACAAATATGTCTCCTTGTTTGGGGCATCCCCTTCTTCCCTGTCCTCACAAACCCCAGAGTCCCTGTTCCTCACAGCTGGAAGGATTGCCAGAGGCCCAGCCCTGCCTCACACTCTCATCCTGGGGACACGAGGAACATGGGGCTAAAAGATGCCCAGACCAGGCATCTTATTCTCCCTCCATCCAATGCTCCGGCCATCAGGACACACAGGTATGCAGTTATGGGGCACCGACTCTGGGTCTGGAGTGACCCCTGAGTGTCCCCAGCACTGGCCCCTGGGTCTGGGAACACCTCTGTGCCTCCTTGAGACCATGATGATGAGACCAGGACACTCTTCTGGAAGCTGGGAATAGAAGAGCTGGGGGGTGGGGGGTGGGGGGTGCAGCTCCCAGGTCCATTTCTGTTCCCCCTCGCCCCACTTCAATCTTAGTGAAGCACCCTGATCCCTGCTCACACATCTCCACAGATGGCACAGGCCCCAGACTCCAAAGGAAGAGAGTGAATGTGTAGCTGGCACCTCCCGTGACCAGACACTGTTTGAACAGTGCCTTGTTTAATGCTCAGAATCACTCTTGGAAAAAAGAAACCACTGGACCGATGTCACAGATGAAAAAACAGACATTAGAGGTTGCATAACTCACCAGCCAGTGGTCTGCCCAACTCCACACACAACCACTCTTCCTCCAGCCACAGCCAAAACACACACACACACACACACACACACTCTCTCTCTCTCTCTCTCTCTCTCTCTCAGCAGCACACACCACATACACACCACATATCACCACACACACATTAGAACATATCACATACACACATCACACTCAATGTAGCACACATACCACAAGCTACATACAACACTACACATATATACACACAGCAAACACACACCACGTACCATACACCACATTTCACATACCACATAGCAAACACACACACCACATACCACCACACACACACATTAGAACATATCACATACACACATCACACCCTATATAGCACACATACTACAGGCCACATGCAATATCATATATACACACAAATATACATTAAATACACATGACACAGCACACACCACTACATATATAGTGTACACACACTATATCATGTACACTTATCACACACTATATATCACATATGCCACAGACCACATACCAACACACACATTAGAAGACATCACATACACATATCACACCCTATATAGCACACATACCACAAACACATCACAAAATACATACCTCCATGCCTCACCACATGCATATTACATACATCACACATGACATACCACACACCCACACATACATATGTACACACATCAAACCACACCACATATACATACTATAACATATCACACACTATATACCGCACACATAACACATCCAACATCACACACACCCCTAGAAACACACACACCACAACACAATACACATAACACACGCTGTACACATACGCACATCACATAAACACAGACACATATCCCAAACAGCATAACCTGTGCACAGTGATTACCACACACACTACAACATATCATACACCCCGTATCTCTCTCTCTTTCACACATACTCTCTTTCTCTTTCTCTCAGTCTCTCTCCTGTGGACCTCACAAGATCTCTCCTGCAATTCTCACTCTATTCTCTCTTAGTGGGTGGGTAAACCAAGGCACAGGGCAGGGAGGCAAGTCACCCAGGGCCACTGAGCTCATAAGGGGCAGAGCCAAGACTCCGAGGGAGGCCGAGTACAAACCCTACCCCTCATCCTCCTGTTCCATCTACAGAGCTCACACCCTCCTGTCCCATCTACAGAGCTTACAGGAGAAAGGGTACAAGAGAACAAGGGACCAGACAGGAAGGATCCCAGTGCTGGTGTCGGCCTCAGAGGTGCTGCAGGCCCTGGATCAGGAGCAGGACCAGGAGGGACTCATGCCAGCCCACTAGCTCGGACAAAAGATGCTTCAGACGGGCCTGAAGCCACTCTGACCCACACGACTCCTCTCCTTGCTCACTCAGCTGGCTGCCAAACATTTAAACAGGGATCTCACCTACAAACCCAGAATTCTGACACCTCTCACACAAACAGGCGTCCCACACAGCAACAACCAGATGGAGTCGGGCAGTAGCTGCCCAGGACAGGACATGCAGCTTCCAGGCGAGCCCCGTGCCCTCGGTGGGAGGTCACTGATGTGACCCACTGGCCTCTGGATGGATTTACACATGTACTACCTGAGAAGAAGGCCGCCCCCTGGGATGTCAGTCTAAGACTTGGGTGGGCCAAGCCAGGACCCCACCTGGACTAGAAGGGCCTTCAAAGCCCCTGAGCCACCTCCCTCCCCCCTCTTACTGTCCATTCTCAGACCTGGCTGAGCAATGCTTTCCAGACAATGCAGATTCCCAGGCTGTACCCAGAACTCATTGAACCAGCCTCTGAATGGCGCCCAGGAGGTGACTTCCTGAAAGGAGCCCTGGTGTACAGGCTGCTGTGCCTGTAACCGCAGTGCAAGCTCATTAGGCGCTCTATGGGACAAAGGAGGACAGTGTCCTCTGGGAAAGGTCACAGCCTCAGAAACCCAATGGAGGGGCACTGTGAGCCGGAACTAATATGATGGCAGTAGGCCTGGCCTTTTGGGTTTAAAAGACTCGACAGGTGCTTCTCAGCTATCTGTGGAAACCAAGGGCCTCTTGTACACACACACTAGATGAATTTATTCACGAACTTAAACAATGAGCAGAGTCCTTACTCACTAAACCAACAGGAGCTGTGAGAGGGGCTGTGGAGTCGGCCCCACCTCACGGTGACCATTCACCACCTCATGGCGACCCTTCACCGACAGCACCACCCTGCCTGACCCTGAGTGGCCCCCGTGATCACGTCACCGCTGGGCTCAAGCCCATGCTGCAGCCACCGTGTCAATCCCTCTCCTAGAGTCTTCATCTTCTCACCAACATGTGACTTCACCAGGCAGGACACCCTTCTGCAGGGACTGACCCCCGGACAACACGCCCAAGGCAAGTGAGACACATCTCGCCCCCTCCGGGGACACAGGGCTCAAGAGTGGACGTGGCTTCTCCCCTCCTGTGCTGCTATCCAGCAGAGACGACAGCCAGCAGATGCTTTATTTCTGGGGTTCTCAACCCTGGTGGTTCAGCCCCCAAAGGGCATTCAGCAAGGCCTAGAGACATTTGTGGTTGTCACAACCATATCCTACCACTAACTCGGGGACTGAGAGGCCAAGTGTGCTGTTTAACATCCTACACAACACAAAGTAGCCCTACACACACAGAGAAAGACAGACAGAGGGCAGAGAGAGAGAGAATAGAGCGGAGAGCGAGAGCAAGAGCAAGAGAGCGAGACAGACAGACAGACAGACAGACAGATGTAGGGAGTGAAAGCAAACAAGAATCATCCAGACCAAGATAGATGTCCATTGTGCAGAGACATGGTAACATATTTCCTGTTCATTCTAAGTAGCATGCAGCAGTGTGGGATTAGGATTAATCATGATGAGGTGATGGAGGTGGGGGCCAGTTGGGAGGAGACCACCTGGAACAAGTGCTGCTGAATCTGGAAGTAAGGGGGAAGTAGGAGTTAGGGAGGGGGCCCCGAGTCTGGGGCACAGACTCCCCAGTCTCCATCTAAGACGGCTTTTCTCCTTCCTCCACTCTCAGATCAGGGCAGGGGGCACTCTCCATGGGTACCCACTTGCACATACAGTCACAGAGGCCCTCAGTGGTCTCCCCACCCACATGTAGCTCCCAGGTCCTCTGAATTCGGACCATACACTCAGCCACTCCAGGGTTCAGATGGGCTGGACAAGGATGCTCCTTTGCAGAGCAAACAAAGCCTGCTCCCAGAGGCAAGTTTTCCAGACAGACACTTGGCTCTCGGCATGCCGCTGGGTCGTTAAATGGCATGTTTGAGGACTGAAGTGTGGATGCTGTTTATTATTTCAGTCTGGCTTGATTGTTCCTCGGCACCCCGAGAGCCAGGCCACATCGCTGGAGGAGCCTCTTCCTGTGTCCTGGCCTTGTGGCCCCAGCTGGCCCGAGCACCACTACTCCGTCCAGGGCGCAGGACTGGCGGCCACCACAGGCTCGGCCCGGCGTCACCAGCCAGCTCCAGGCTGTCACTGCCACCACTGTACAGTCATCTTGA